TTATCCCGGGAGCAGGGGGTTTTTTGTGTGTGTGTGTGTGTGTGTGTGATTGGCATGACACATCCTATTGAACCCTCTTGTCATTGGTTATCGTGGCCTGAACTCCTCCTTTTGTGGCTTCCTGTGACAAGCCATGGTTAAAACAAGCCGCGGCTTATTGTGGTCTGCCTGCGGCATGTCTTCCAAATTTCAGACCATACTGGGGGGTTTCTTAAAACCCAGATATTTGGTTAGGCGGGGCCTGGAGCGTTTTCCAGGAGAAGCAGAATGGTGTTCCCAGGAATCTCATTAAAGTAACCGTACATATTTCTGTACGGAGGAGCTGAGGTTGAGAGAGCCTGCTTTGCCCCAAGAGCGATTTTAAGGTTTCAATCTGCGGTTTGTGGGTTTGCACAATTTGCTTCTTTTGTGACTACGCTCAGTTGAATTGTCACTTTTGTTCTGCTTTGTGGCAAAGGTGAAGCAGCCGCTCCTTTTAAACTGGCCCAAGGGAACTTAGTCTCTAGTAGAAATAATGACAAAAGTTAGAAATTTGGATATGTAAACATAGATGCCTTCCTCCCTCCATTCCTTCTTTCCTCCCTCCCTCCCTCATCCTTCCGTCTTTCCAAGGTGCGTAAAATGAGGACCCAGATTGTTGAAGGCAATACGCTGAATCTGTAATCCGCTTAGAGAGGGCTGTGAAAGCACTGTGAAGCAGTATATAAGTTTTAAGTGCTGTTGCTACGGCTATTTGGCACTCGAAGGAAGCGAGGAAATAAATGTTTTTATCAGCATTTAGCCAGTCTGCTCATCTGAACGCAGACCTCATTCCTTTAAACTTTGGTTCTTGAGAAAGCTGCAGATTGGAGAAAGAGCTTCTAACTGAACACTGAAGAAACTAGGCTTTTGGAAAAGTCTCTCTTTTTTTTTCCTGGAAAGGTTCATTAAAATATCCTGAACTTTGGGGGGGGTGGGGCGTGTGTGCTTGTTGCTGTTTCATCGGGCTTAAGAATGCCAGTCATTTCCTTTCCAGATTTTCAGAATGGCCCGAGGTCGAAAGAAAGGAAGTTCTCCCGGGAATGCAAAACAAAATCTACTGTACAGATGTAAAGCCTCTGCTGCTAATGGATGACACGACTCTGCGCTCCACAGATTTTGTGATTGATCTGCAGTGGGCCCTGTACGATTGTGCGGTGCTTTCTGTCTGCCCTCAGGGCTACCCCGCTGTCACTTAGAGGGGGTGGCATTTCTGACTAGCGGAGAGCCAAACTCCTCTGTAGTTACCCTTCGTTGTGCCAGTTGTGCTGAAGAATTGGTGACGGTGACATTTGGCAAGCGGGGGGGGGGGGGAGCCAGTTTTCGTGCAGGGGCCTGCAGAAATGGCATTTTGGGCCTGTTTATCCTGCATTTCAAGTGCTTTGCATTTTATATTAAGCATCTCTCCGATGGGATTAGGAATCCACTTGTTGAATGCAATTGGATACCGCAATTTGGGTCATTTAAAATCTTGCTGCTGTTTCACAAGCAGGCTTAAAACAGGACGCTGTGGAGGGGCAGGAAGACTTTTGACATTAAGTACAGAAAGTTAGAAAAACAGAGTTGGAAGGGATCTTGGAGGTCTTCTAGTCCAACCCCCTGCTCAAGCAGGAGACCCTCTACCATTTCAGATAGGCGGCTGTCCAGTCTCTTCTTAAAAGCCCCCAGTAATGGAGCAGCTCTTCCACTGGTTCCTTGTTCTCCCTGTCAGGAAGTTCCTCCTTGGTTCCAGGTTGCTTCTCTCCTTGGATGAGTTTTCATCCGTTGCTTCTTGTCCTGCCCTGAGGTGCTTTCGTGTCTGTGTCCTTGATGTATGACCACAGCTGAGTCCAAAATTTTCATTGCTAAGCAAGGCAGTTGTTAAGTGAGTCGTGCCCCCATTTTATGACCTTTTCCGCCCCTATTAAGCGAATCGCTGCAGTTGCTAAATGAATCACGCAGTCGTTAAACCTGGGGTCTGCAACCTTAAACACTCAAGGGGTTACTTGGACCCGTTTCCCCTCAGAAAAGAAAACACCGGGAGCCAATAATTTAACAACCAGTGTGACCGGGTGGACATGTGGCCAACTCCACGTCACTCACTCCTACCCAGCTCCCTCCTGCTCTGGAATATGGAGCGAGTATCCATCCCCTGCCGTCACCCTTGCCTTCTCAGGCCAGGTGAGGAGTGACGGGGAGGGGAGGGGCCAGCCAATGGCGGGGTCAGCTGACAGGGAGTTGCAGCAGGGGGCCAAAAGAGCCTTGGGTTGCAGACCCCTGCGTTAAGCAAATCCAGCTTCCCCCATTGATTCTGCCTGTCAGAATCCATACGGGAAGACACTACAGAGTGTGGTGAGGACAGCACAAATATCGTGGGCTGTCCCCGGATACCACTAGATGATCTCGCTAGGGCTCGCTGCCTTGGAAGAGTGAGGAAAATTCTCAGGGACGACTCACACCCCGGTCAGCACTTCTTCACTCTCCTGCCATCAGGTAGGAGATAGAGAAGCATAGTTGTCATGGCCCTGTTGGAGTCTGACTCCGAGGGAGAGGAGGAACAGCCAACAGGGAGTGGAAGTGTGGCTCCGGAGGGTGTGGAGGAAACTGGGGAAGGGCACAGGCCGGCTGGGCATTCATTGGAAGACCTAGACCCATCCCCTCTTCATCCTAGGGCACGCAGGGAGGAGCGGATCAGGGAGAAATGTGAATGGCATGGTCTATGGGGGAGGAAAGGGCCTTGATCCCCTTCATGGGCTGCAGCTGTGAGGAGTGTTTAAAAGGATAAACTGCGCACGGGCCAGTGCTGGAAGCAAAGCGTGAAAATATTTCTAGTCTGTCCGTTCTTATCTGAGTTTGGTGTCCTTCCCAGTGTGTGTATTTTGATATCTGTGGACGTCTGTGGAAGCCCTTATCCTGCCTTGTCTCAGTAATTGCTTCAGTGTGGTTTGTGTTGTTGTTTTTCTATTTATAATTTATATGTATTTTGAGTTTGAATGGTATTTCTTCCTTTTCGCAGCTGTTTGTGGGGGAGTTTTTTGTCTCCAGTCAATGATAATTGGAGCTTTAAAGCCAAGTTGAAGGAATTAAAGAGACTTCACCTGTTTTTGTGACTGTGTTGCTTTTGTAACTCACCCTGGGTCATCACAATAGCCGGCACCAACAGGCTGAAGAACAGTTTCTACCCGTGGGCTGTCAGACTCCTGAATGGAAAATAACTTCATGTCAACATAGTATGACAGACTTGCGGGGCTGGCACGTTGGGCAATAAGCTCAGATAGTGTAATAAGACTGGGACTCACCCTCACTGTGAGTTGTGTTCGGGGGTGTGGGGTGCACGAAGGGAGGCTCAGCCAATCTCATTGTACGCAGATTGTACTCTGACAATAAAAGTAATAATAATTACAAATGGCGATCACAGGGACCATGCAGTTGTCATAAATGGGAGCCAATTGGCAAGCACCCAAATTTTGATCATGTGACCGTGAGAATTAACAATGAGATAACATTTAGAACAATCAAAATTTCTTGCGTTAACCCTCTGATTTGCAGTGAGGATTAAGATACGAAAATACAGTGTATTCTATATACGGTAGCCATAAAATTGATAACTAAAATGGGAACCCCAGTTCCCATTTTAGAATCGGTCAGAACCTGATCTCATCTCTGTCTTGGTTCATCATCCAGAGGTGTGGATAAACCTGGTTTGAAAACCAGGCAGAGGTTGAGCCTGGCTTGCCTGTAACACAGGACGCCCTAGGCATTTTCGGCTCGAGCTGAATCACTGTCAGTTGTAGAGCTAAGGTAGTTAGAGCCGCAGTGCAGGATTGGATCTAAAGACGACCTCATTATTGAAGTTACAGATATAGATATAATTAACAGAGTTAGAAGGGACCTTGTAGGTCATCTAGTCCAACCCGCTGCCCAAGCAGCAGATCCTACACCATTTCTGACAAATGGCAGTGCAGTCCCTTCCTGAAAGCCTCCAGGGATGAAGCTCCCACAACTTCTGAAGGCAAACTTCTGTTCCATGGGTTGATTGTCCTCATGTTAGAAAGTTTCTCCTTATTTCCAGGTTGAATCTCTCCTGGATCAGTTTCCATCCATTATTCCTTGTCTGGCCTTCAAAAGTGCTTTGGAAAATAGCTTGACTCCTTCCTCCTCTCTGTGGCAGCCCCTCAGATATTGGAAGACTGCTCTCATGTCTCCCCTGGACTGGGTATTCCCCAAAACATCATATAGATTTAAAACCAGAGATATTTTTAATTGGGAATTTTACTTGAAGGTTTCAACAGAATTGACATATTTGATTATTAATGTTTAACTGCAGCTGGAATTGTATTTGCTCAAAATTGGAAAAAATGGGAAAATTCTGATAGAGGAGGTGGAGGTGATTAAAAAATAATGGAATGTGCAGAAATGAGTAGATTAACTTTAGCAATTAGAGAGCAAGAAGAAAAAGAGTATTATAAGATTTGGGATTTATTTTATCAATGGCTAGATGGAAGAGTAAGAAATTGAAGTATATTGTAATAGTAATGATATGCTATAATTGATTATTATGGAATGAATTATAATATGAATTAAAATTAGTAAGAACTGAGATTTGCTCTAAAGGATAATGCGGATTTGACATTAAAGTCTAATGATGATGTGATAATATAATACAACATGGAAAGTTGATTAATGTAACATGAATGTAAACTTAAATCTAAGAGGAAAAGACTATAGATGTTGTACACAAGAAATATGTACCAACCGACACACTATATAGGTTTTATTTGTTGTTTTATGTTTATGTTTGTCTATGTTGTTAAAAATAAAAAAACTTTTTAGAAAAAAAAAAGACTGCCTATTCCCAACCTCCCCTCTGGAAACAGGGGTGGTGGTGAACAAACCGGGATGACGTTCTGCAGAAGCACCCGCAGGGTGGCATCTTGTCCAACAGTTGGAGAAATGGGCCAGTCCATCCCCTCTTGTCTTTATCTTCCGCTTTACCTTGGCAGAGTGAAGCGGCCTAGCAGTATTAACAGCCTTCTGGGGAAGATGGGCTCCAAAAAGCAGAAAATGAGCACGCTGGAGAAGTCCAAGCTTGATTGGGAGAACTTCAAAGAAGAAGAAGGCATCGGCGATGAGCTGGCCATCCACAACAGAGGGAAAGATGGGTAAGAAAAAAAGATGTTCTGTTCCCTTGGCAACTACTCGATGAGTAACTCTTGCTGCTCATGCTCTCAGAAACAGTATTATTTTTCCCCCCATTTTTTTTTTATTAATGTTGGTGAGATTCCTCAAGAACCTTGATGCTCCACTCACTGTTCCCACCAATTTCTTAGGTTCCTGGGACCAAAATGCAGGCATTCCACTTAGGTTTGGCTTTAGCAAGCAGAAGTAGAATTTGGGACAAATCATGGCTCTTTTAACACAACCTATATATGGGGAAACCCACTTGCCTTGGAATCAATTCAGTGTAATATACCCATAACAAACAGAACTCCAAGGCAGGTAGGTTCCTCAAAGAACAGGTTTATTGAATATATCATTTATTATGTAATGTATCATACTGGAGACCTGTGCTTCACGACAAAACTTTGTGATCGGGCTATGCAGGAGAAATCCAGTTCACAATCCGTGGGCTCATGGTGGTTGGTGATTGAAACACATAAGGGAATATCTCTCCCGTCGCCTTGAGTCCGGAAGCGATTCCATAGGTGGAAGGCGTAGACATTTTGGTGAGGTACCGATGTGAGGTACTGTAAGGAGCTCCAGGCCGCTCCGGAGTGAGGGAGTGGAACGTCTGCTGGTTTGAACTGAGGTAACGGAATGTGAGGCAGCTGGCAGTTGGAACAGATTTCTTTTCAGGTGGGAAGGGGGAGTAGAACTCTTTAGCATTAGAGCGTGTTAATAATAATAATATAGGAAATATTCTAAATGCTCTGATGGTCATTTTGAAAAATCCTTTCTTAGTGAGCACTTAGAAGCCAAGAGGAACACACGTGCCAAATTTCAAATTTGTAGGCTTTATGGTTCTGGAGATTTCGTGATGAGTGAGTGGTACTTGGCTTTTATATACCGTATTTGCCGGCGTATAAGACGACTTTTTTGCCCTGAAAAACATGCCTCCAAGTGGGGGGGTCGTCTTATACGCCGGGAGGACTCCGACTCCCACTTCGAGCTTGAGTTGCAGCCGGGAGGGGGGCGGGGGGGGGGGGGGGAGCGGTGTGTGTGTGTGTGTGTGGCGGGTGTCACTCGCCACGCGCTGCGCAACCTTTCCCCCTCTTCCTTCCTTAGCGGTGTGGGGAGGAGAGGATTCGAAGATCCTCACGTGCGGCGTACTTTTCTTTTTCTTTTTTTCTTTTTGCACGCAGGTTTTGCATGCGGGCGGCTGTAGGTTAAGGATGGGGGAGCCCCCGGGTGGGTTATCAGGTTTTACTGTGCTTCCAACATGTGCGAACGGTGGGAGAGCGGAGAAGAGAGCGAGCGAGCGCCCCACTGTGTGAAATCCTGCCGTCAAAGCAACACTGGGGGAGGCAGGGTATAAATTTACCAGGTTAATGTAGCAATGGTGATTAATGCCCAGAACATTGTTTGCGGGTATTGGGGTGTGTGTGTGTGTGTGGTGGTGGTGAGGAGAGGTTGTCCTTTGAATGCGGAAAAGTAGGTGTGACCTTGTGTAGGAAAATAAAGAGATCCTTTTTAGCGTGTTTGGCTTCTTTGCCTCCCCTCGTTCGTTTTGACGTGGAGATAATGGCCTTCGGGCGGGAGGGGAAGAAAACGGTAGCTGGATCATTTCAAATTTCACTTACTCTCCTGCCTCACTTCAATATGTCTGAGCGACTCCAGATACTGGAAGACTTTTTGAATGAAAGTGTTACCTCCATTTTTTTTTTTAAAGAGGGCCACTTGGGGAAAAAAAAAGATTCTAAGGAATTCCTTGTTTCTTGATTAAAGAGAAGGCATTGAATATACTGTTCCTTGGCAGCCTTTTCAGTGTCCGGGTTTTTGGTGTGTGTGTGTGTGTGAGTGAGAGAGAGAGAGAGAGAGAGAGAGAGAGAGAGAGAGAGAGAGAGATCAGCTGTATTGAGAAGAGAACGTTTCCTGTGTTCTCATTTTATTTACAACATATTTTACGCTTAATGGTAAGCAATGAAAAATATTTTTAAAACTCATTTCTAAACTCCATAGCTATTTGCATATTCTTGGTTCAAAATTGGATTAGCTCATTTCAAAATTGTCCAAAGCAGAAAAGTGCGTCAAAAAAAAAAAAAAAGTGCAAAAGTGGAAGGTGTGTGGAAGAGGGGGTAGTCTTATACAGCGAGTATATAACAAACTCTATATTTTGAGTGGAAATGTTGGGGGGTCGTCTTATACGCCCAGTCGTCTTATACGCCGGCAAATACGGTATATAAAAGAATTGGCACAGACTGGTGAAAACCGACTCTAAAGGTTCCCGTGGTTTTCACCTAATTAAAAGTAAAAGTTTTCCCCTCTTTCCCAAACAAACAGTTACATGGTCCAATCAAAGTGCTGTCTGGCTGCTTGGCAAATTCACTCCTCTCTTCAGCCACCTGTGGGAATGACCTTGGTTCTCAGGGGAAACTATTTTGCTTTGGCTACAAAACCCCAGCTATTGCTATTCCTCCCCCTCCCTAACCCTCAGCACCATTGTAGCAACACTGAAGCTTCCGAGGTGGCCTCAGTCAGGCCAGCTTCAGAGTTGACACTTATAGGTAACAACACATACAAAAATCCCTACACAATAGTTTGGCCATTCTCAGTGAATCAAGGCTGACCTTGCTGGGGCCTGATTTGGATGTTTCAGAAGGCAAAGAGGAACATGAATCCCAGGATTTATCATGGTGGCATGTACGATAATATTCTTGTCAGGTGCAGGAAATTGGGAAGCAGGGTGGTTCAAATGAGTACAAGTTTATTCCAGGCTAGCTCTCCACAAGAATCTGAACTACTAACGGTCAAAGCAAATTGGCGGCAGATCAGAATCAACAGATTTCAGGGTGGGCTGGACTTAGATCTCTTGTGGGCCCGAAAGAACTCCAGACTGATGGCATGTGTGACCCCTCCCTCGGGCTCAGCCTGGTCAACTCCTACACTTCTGGCCTTATATGGGACAAATCTCTGGAACGCCTCCAGCTTTGGGGTGCAGGGAGCCTTGCAAAGCTCTTCCCCAAGACCATAAAGCAGGGGTGTCAAACTCGTGTCGTCACAGCATTGTCACGTGACACATCGTGACTTTTTTTCCCCCTTCTCTTAACTGGATGTGGGCATGGCTAGCACATGACGCACCTGGTCCACAGGCTGCGAGTTTGACAGCCCTGCCATAAAGCAATAGCACTTCGATTTATACAACACCACTCCACAGTGTTTTACAGCACTCTCTGGATGATTTATAATGTTAGCATATTGTCCTCAACAATCTGGCTCCTCATTTTAACAACCTCAGAAGGATGGAAGGCTGAGTCAGCCATGGTCAGGATCAAACTCCCGGCAGTGGGCAGAATCAGTCTGCAATACTGCATTCTAGCCACTGCTCATCATGCATGGATGGATGGATGGATGAATGAATGGATAGAAGGGCAATAGCACTTAGACTTATATACCACTTCACAGTGCTTAATAGCCCTCTCTAAGCGGTTTACAGAGTCAGCCTCTTGCCCCCAAGAATCTGGGTCCTCATTTTACCCACCTCAGAAAGATAGAAGGCTAAATCAACCATGGTCAGGATCAAACCCCTGGCAGTGAACAGACTCAGCCTGTAATACTGCATTCTAACCATCAATGGATGGATGGATAGAAAGGCAATAGCACAGGCTTATATGCGCTTCACAGTGCTTCACAGCCCTCTCTAAGCGTTTTACAGGATCAGCCTTATTACCCCCAACAATCTGGGCCCTCATTTTACCCACCTCAGAAGGCTGAGTCAGCCATGGTCAGGATCAAGCTCCTGGCAGTGGGCAGAGTCAGCCTGCAATACTGCATTGTGTTCACTGCGCCACCATGGCTCAGTGCCTGCATTGACTTTCATGGCATTTGCTCTCACCGCCGTTACTGAGAAAGTGATTTGTATGGGATAACCACCTGGGCAACCCAGGTTTATTTTCTGGAAAGTTGGAGTGGAAGGAAAGAAGCATCCCGCTGTCTTTTCTAGCCATATATAAAGACGCCTGTTGCTCTTTGGGGGTAAGTGAGGCTGTTCTGGCCATGGGCGACCCAAAAGGTGAAAGGCATTGTTGTCGAGCTTAATTCAGAGACGTGGCAAGGAATTCTATAACTGTCATCTCTATAACTGCCTGGTTTGGCTCTGCAGCCCAACAAGACAGACAGACTCCAGGTAGTAATAAGGACTGCATAAAAAACAGTTGCTACCAACCTGCCTTCCATGGAGGACCTGTATACTGCACGAGTCTGTCTGTCTGTCTGTCTATCTATCTATCTCTATTTAGCTATCTGTCTCTATATCTATCTCT